TTGATGATCAATAGTGTCAATAACTTGGAGCTGAAAAGGAGCTAGATTTTCTGCCTTTGGCGGAGTGTTTTGCTTTTTTGGTCTGAGTTGGGGATGTAGATGGTGGCACTGAGAACTGGATTGGCCGAACATACGACAGTTGGAACAATAAAGAAATAACTCAATCACTACATTTTATCAATATCTATGATGTTTTGTGTCCAACAAAATCTCCTCATAAGCGGATAAAGTAATGTCTCTTTCAACAAGTAATCTGGTTTCAGATGGGCGGGAAAGATTAAAAGTAGAAATGTTCCCTTTAAGTGGCTTACCATAAGCTGAGGCAATAAAATACAACACTTTTCGAGTGAAATAATGAAATTTTAAACAAGGGAGGAGAATCCAAACTGGAATGATTGGTGGTTCCGTCTGTGGTTAAAAATCCACAGACCATTTCAGAATCTTCATTGCTCTGTTATCAATCCAGATAATCCTTCTAGCAAATAAACGCGCGTAATCCTCTTCATTATTAAGTTGAATAAGAGAGTGTCTTCCATCGAAAAGTCCAATTTTCCACTCCTTAACAAGGTGCATAAGCTCAAATTTCTTACGAATCAGCTCTATTTTGGGATGATCATACAAAAACTTCCCGACCAAATTCAGACGATAGGAGGAAGCAAGGTAAATATCTTCAGCTTCTGTAAAAAAGATGGCAGGTTTCTCATTCTTCCTACCAGGTTTCTTGATGTCATTCTCTCACTCAAACGGAGGAAAAAAGCACGATTTAGGTGTACCTAAAGCTTGGGCACCCGCAAGGGCAACAAAATAAGATCTGTCCGAAGCCATCCCTAATAGATGAAGGTGCAGAGAGCAGAACAATGAAGAAAGCAATGACAAACATCGGGCAAGGAGCGGAGGAAAGCCCCTCTGTGAGCTGCAGATGACCAGCTAGCAGCAGCGAAGAGACGCCGCCGAGCACCCTCTCTAATGACGAGTCACAGAAAGCCCGCGCCCAGATGTCCGCCTAGACTTCCCTTAAAAGCCGCAACGAGAGGCAATCCGCTGAAACGGGACAACGAAACCCACTGAGCAGATGCCCCCGGGCCCGACATACATATACATATATATAGTACTTCATAAAAAAAAGCTTGGCCAATACCAAACCCATCATGGCTCGAAACAAGCAATTTTTTTTTTCAATTCATTTAGGTTGGTCCAGACCTGAGTATTACATATAAGTTAACTTGAAAAAAGATATTTTTATGTTGGATTTGAATCAAGTTTTCAAGTTGGATATAATAATCACCATGCCAAAAGGGTATATAAAAATTAGCTCAAGCCCGATCCTTTGTAAAAAGAAAGAAAAAACATTTAACAAAGCCTCCCATAATCATTGTACAAAAATCAAATGTAAAATTATGCTTTACTCAATCTTTAAATATAAAAATCTCACTCGAGTTCAAACCTCGGCTCAAGGCTTACATGTAAACACCACCATTATTCCATAACACTAAAAAAAAATCATAAATATTGAAAACTAAAGCACATCATGGAAGTTACCTTAAAGAATGACTGTTATATGAAAATAAAAAAGCTTATAAAATCCTACACACTGAAAACTTAAGCGCATTTCTTGGAACTAACCCTAATTATTGATTTATATAAGGAAAAAAAAATAAACTAAATAAAAAAAAAAAAATCAAAGGAGTACCCCATCCAAATCAAGTTCTCAAATGTAAGGATACATATCCTTAGCACATATGATAGATACAATTCTGGGTAATCATAACTAGAAGGAATCTTCATCACCGAAAGTCTTAATAAACAAAATAAAATGTGTATTCTATTCCAAATAACGGTCATAAGTGGAGTATCTAAACACCAATTTCCACTTGTAAAAATTTTAAAAAAAGATCAAAAGCTCAATCAATAATCAACCACATCGTCCTCAAAATAACTTCTTATCCATCATCCACACTAACATGCCAAGAAAGATAATTTTAACTATAACAAAAGCTTGTACATATCAATATAATGTCAACTAATCCATATGATCGAACTAAGAAAATCTCACACAGTGATACAGTTAGTACTGTATAACCAATTCATTATCTTTGACAATGAAGCCATCAATGCTACAATTATAGCATAAGACTGAATGCTCATGCATGGGAAAGCCATAAGACATTCGATAAAACATAAAGCTCTCTGTTTGCAAAAAGAATAGTTCAAAATTATCTTCACTAAGAAGTTACCCCCAATTCTATGACAGCCACTTAAAATAGTACACTCTTGCTTATAGACAAGAATTGAATGATCTAGTTAAATTGACTATTTTCATAGGCTAGTATATCAAACGACATCTTGAGATTAAGAAATCATAAAATGTTGATTAACGTTATCATCATTTTCTTCCCATCCACCATAAGCCGAAACAATTACATATTATTTCGTACAATAAAATTCTTGCTACTGAAATCAAGCATCATAGACCATATATACGAACCATAATCTAAATTTCTCTCATAATTTAGGGAGGTAATTAATTGTAAGGGACTGTCCCTGTGGGAATGCTCAAATTAGTCTTCTCTTGAGAGCAAATTCTTCGGATTGTGTTTTATTAAATAAAAAAAAAACCTTTTGAAAAAATTGGTGCAAATCTCTAAATAAAATTCCAACAAAGTTAGAATATAATTATTAGTTCTCATAATACGATTATAGACTAGTTCAATAAGTAGTTGAATTTTACTGAATAAAAGAGAAATTGTGTATGGAATTTTGGAAAGTGATGCCTAACAATTTCCAAATTTTGCTAGTTTGGTTATAAAAAAAAAATGGCAACACCGTTTAGGACTTCATGGACTTGTAAACATTAAGGAACGTTATTACTGAAAAAAAACCTAGAGAATCTTGATTGATCTTATTTGAAGGAATTCTACCCTTTTTCTATTTTTCCTTGGCAACACCGTTTTTCAATTTTTAGATAATTATCTAACTCTTCAAAGTTGAAAATGGACAACAGTAATATATTGTAGAGATTTACCAGCTTGTTTTCATAGCATAACCACATGCAAAATCCAAACAGATTCTTACAATTTTGGAACTATTATCGTACTATTTTGAACATAAGACCTAATGTATACAACAATAACTGAAACTATGGATAAATCAATGGAAAATAGTGCCCAATAAGATAAGAATTAGAAACATAGACAATAAATACTTTCAAAATGAAATAGCACCACAAAAAATCACCAGTTTGAACACCATAAGTCACTGTAATAAGAAATTCATTGTAGACGAGCATGAACCATCAGAGCTTTTTTCCACTTTTTACATCCATTTAGGGGCCGTTTGGGAAAATTTTTAAATTTAAAATTTTGTTTATTACTTTAATTAAATAAAACATATTTGATATGTATAATATATATTTAGTTTTTTCTAAAAATACTTAAGCAACTAAACTTATTTAGAATATTTAAGGTGACTTAGTTTTTTAAGAAAAAAAATAGTAAAAAACACAATAAAGGGCTGTTTTGATTACTACAAAAAAATGTAATATAATTGAATTGCAGTATATTTGGAATTCTTTGGAGTTGTTTATTTCGACATAAAATAAATAAAAGGTTTATAATTTTCTTTTATTTAAGAAAAAAAAAACAATATAAAATAGTCAATGGTAATGTGGAACAATGGTGGCGAGCAGTAGTGGTGGTGGTTACGATACTAGGCAGGCAGTCAATGGTGCGACAACGTGTGGGTCAGCAAGAGACGGTGGTTGGATTGCAACAAAATGTGGGTGGAAACTAACATCGACTGTGAATGGTGGCAATGACATGCGACGGCATTGGTGACGTCTGTGGTGGTGATAGCTATAATTACGACAACTCTGAGGTGGTTGGCGCAGCAAGGACGGTTGTGGCAAAGGCAAAGTCCAACAACAACTAGGTGGCTGACATGTAGAGGAGGTTGGAAGACAGCAGTGGCATAGGACAGGATGGCGATGTAGGTTAGTGTAGGGAGTCAACAGGGGGTGACAGCCAACGACAGGCAAGCATGCGAGTGTTGGCAGCAGCAGGTGGTTAAGGGGGTGGAAGTGGCTGGCAGTTGATGGGCATGGGCTATGACAACAATAGCCACAGGCAATGACGATAAAGGTTGTCGTTTGAAATGTATTTGGAAATCACATAAAAAATCTAGTTTTAAGCTATAGGGTAAATTATAAATTCACTAAAATTTTATACTACATTGAATTTTCATCCAACTAAATACTGAAATTTTGAAAACCCCTGCATTATGTTTACTTTACACTACAAATTCATCGAACAAAACAAGCAGTATATAAATATGCTTTTAAAAAATTATACAAAAAAATAAAAATTAACATTGATCCCGAATGGCCCCTGAATTTCACAAAAAAGCTGGTCACATGCAGTAATTAGCTAGCAACATTTGATATTAAGTAAAAAAAAGACAATAATAAATTATAAGATAATAGAGGGTTATTTGGGATGATTTTTTATTTTTTGTTCTTTATTTTTAATTTTTTATTTGTTTTATTGATATTTTGATTTTAAAAGAAACATGTTTGTCACGTTGAAAACAAGTTAATTTATTTTAAAAAAAACTCGACGCAACTTTTAGCATGAAAATTTTTAAAAACAAGTTGATTTACTTTAAAAAATACTAAAATCAAATATGTGAAAAATACATGAAATAAAGACATTTTTAAAATAAATAAATAAATAAAATAAACTAAAAAAATTAATCCCAACAGGTTCTGAATGATCATAGAAGAATATAACTCCTGCAACCGATTTTATTTTTTCTCTTCTTTTGTACATGATTTGCACACTACCTGCAGCAGATTAGCTGTTACAATTGTTACACAACTACAAAGAATACTAAAGATTAAAAAAAAAACAAAACAAAACAACAAAGAATGGAGACAATATAGCTCATGCTACACAACTAGATACATTTTCTTTAGAATAGAGAAACATGAAATGAATGGTCCAGACCTTTAGATATCTTCTGCATTATCTGAGATAATTGCTTTCTAACATCTCTACTGAACTTCATGTTACGAACCTATAGAACAATTCAGCGCATAAATTCTTAAATTGAATGGTTTCTATTGATTTTCTAAATAAAACATAAAACTGGAAGTGACCAAAATAACAAATTTAATATTTTAAACGAGTACATTTTCATGGCACATTTAACATAACATAGGCAAGGAAATAAAATAATAATTTAAGAAGTACTAAATATATTTCTATCAAAAATGCCTTCACAATAACCATAAGAAATTATTTCGGTTTATTTAAAAAGATTTTCAAAGCTAAAGCAGAAGGTTAAATGTCAAATTTCCATTATTTAATTTAAATGATGAATAGTTACGCAATAAGTGGTCTCATCATTCAAAAAAGTGTATTAATACAAAGTACTGATCAAGGGAAAGAAAGCAATGCATACATATATTTTTTTCTCCTGGCATGATGGACCATTCACCATTTTTTTTCTTTTAATCAACTTGTAGAATCTGATAATACAAGATCACATTGCTGATTTCAAATTGCAATACGACTTAAGAATGGACTTTCATCAAGGCAATTAAACAATCATTTTGTGAAAAAAAGAACAATCAAGAATTATAAAAGGCTGAATGACTTTTTAATTTACCCACATATTTTACCAATCAAAACCAACAAGGTAAATGTAAGTATGCCGCACATACACAAATATATGACTTTTTTTCTTTTTTTCTTTTTTTTCCTTTTTCTTTTTCGAGATGTCGGCTAAGCTCGAGAGCTCCGCTAGGATTTCCAATGGCGTCGCTGCCCTCCATTGCGCGTCTTCGTCGGCGTCGCTGCCCTCCATTGAGCTTCTCTAGGGTTTCCGTCTGCATCTTCGTCGGCGTCGGCGTCGACGTCGCTGCCCCCATTGCGCGCGTCGTCCTCCCTCGATATCGCTACACTTGCTCGAGCTTCTTCGTCTCCGTCTGTTTCGGCGCTGCTCGATATCGC